GACACCAATTAGACCCTAGGTTGTTATTGGTTTTTTAAATTATTTGGTATTTATTTACCTTAGGACAGCGCTAGCCCGGGGGGTTTATGATTATCTGTTTTTCATCGGGGTTTAGCATTTATTGGCTACCCATAGGCATGCTCGCTGGGTATAGAAGGGGGTTCTGGAGACAGTGATTAGGTGTTTGGTAGTGTAAGGGGACAGAGGGGTGGACCCGAGTGTGGGAGTTTAGGGTTCAAGCCTCGCCCTTGGCAGATTAGGGAGTAGTGGGGCATTTAGTTTCTTATGACGGCCAGAGTCCAAATAGGACGATGGTAGGGGAGGGGTTTGGTCTAGGGCCTTGTGTCGACCCCTAGTCTTACAGTTACCCCAACCCTAACACTGTTGGCACCCTAAGTAAGAGTCCTATGGGAAGTATAATTTTGGTAGGGCTATTCTCATTTGAATCTGGGATGACACTAATTAGACCCTTTGTTGTAATTTGTTTGGTAACCCCTTTGTTATATATATTTTTTACCTTAGGACAGCGCTGGCCCGGGGGGTTTATGATTTATGACTAGGTATTATTGGGGTTCAGCATTGTATTAGCTATCCACAAGCATGCTTGCGGGATATACTAGGGGGTTCTGGAGACAGTGGGTAGGTGTTTGGTAGTGTAACGGGACAGAGGGTGGACCCGAGTGTGGGAGTCCAGGGATCGAGTCTCACTCTTGGCAGATCAGGGAGTGGTGGGGGATTTGGTTTCTTACTACGGCCAGAGTCCTAATGGGACGATGGTGGGGAAGGGGGTTTGTTTAGGGCCCTGCGTCGACCCCTAGTCTTACAGTTACCCTAACCCTAACATTGTTGGCACCCTAGGTAAGAGTTCCTTGGGGAGGTTTAATTTTGGCAGGGTTATTCTAATTTGAATCTGGGATGACACTAATTTGACCCTAGGTTAATTGGTTTTGTAATTTATCCGGTATTTATTTACCTTAGGACAGCGCTGGTCCGGGTGGGTTTTGATTATTTATGGCGTTTTATTTTCAGGGTTCAGCTTGGTTGTAGCTGTCCATTAGCATGCTCGCTAGATATAGAAGGGGTTCTGGGGACAGGGGATCAGTTGTTTGTTAGTGTAAGGGGTACAGAGGGTGGACCCGAGTGTGGGAGTCCAGGGATCTAGTCTCACTCTTGGCAGATTAGGGAGTAGTGGGGGATTTAGTTTCTTACTACGGCCAGAGTCCTAATGGGACGATGGCAGGGGAGGGTTTTGGTTAGGGCCCTGCGTCGACCCCTATTCTTACAGTTACTCTAACCCCAACATTGTTGGCACCCTCGGTGGAGTCCTTTGGGAGGTTTAATTTTGGTAGGGTTATTCTAATTTGAATCTGGGATGACACTTATTAGACCCCAGGTTTATTGGTTTTGTAATTTATCCGGTATTTATTTACCTTAGGACAGCGCTGGTCCGGGTGGGTTTTTGATTATTTATGACGTTTTATTATCAGGGTTCAGCTTGGTATTAGCTATTCAGGAGCAGGCTCGCTGAATATACTAGGGGGTTCTGGGGATAGTTGATTAGGTGTTTGGTAGTGTAAGGGGGTACAGAGGGTGGACCCGAGTGCGGGAGTCTAGGGTTCAAGCCTCACTCTTGGCAGATCAGGGAGTAGTGTGGGTTTTAGTTTTAGTGGTTGTGACGGCCAGAGTCCTATTGGGACAATGGTAGGGGAGGGGTTTGGTGTAGGGCCCTGCGTCGACCCCTAGCTTTACAGTTACCCTAACCCTAACACGGTTGGCACCCTTAGTGAGAGTCCTTTGGGAGGTTTTGGTAGGGTTATTCTAACTTGAATCTGGGATGACACTATTTAGACCCTAAGTTGGTATTTTTTTAATTTATTAATTTTGTTAATTATCTATTTATTTACCTTAGGACAGCGAGTCCGGGTGGGTTTATGATTATTTATGACTATTTATTATTGGGGTGCAGCATGGCTTTAGCTATCCACAAGCATGCTCGCTAGATATAGGATGGGGTTCTGGGGACAGTGGATTAGTTGTTTGGTAGTGTAAGGGGGTACAGGGGTGGACCAGAGTGTGGGAGTCCAGGGTTCAAGTCTCACTCTTGGTGGAGTAGTGGGAGTTTTAGTTTATACTACGACTCCGGTCCCTTTTGGACGTTGGCAGGGGGGTTTGGGGCCCTGCGTCGACCCCTGGCCCTGCAGTTGCCTTACCGTAACACTGGTTATTTCTCAGTAGGGGGGGTTTTTTTAGAGGCACTTTTTCAGGGGTTTTGATAGCGTAAGGGGTAGGGAAGGGAGGCCTGGGTGTGGGAGTCTGGGGTTCTAATCACACTGGGTGGAGATCAGGAAGTACTTGGGGGTTTATAATCTCTTACTACAGTGACGACCTTGAGGGGTTTATTGTGTTGAATCTACCTTAATCCATGGGGAGTTGATCAGCCGGGTATTGGGTTTCAGGCTTCTTACTTACGTGGGATTAGGAAGGAGCTTAGTTTGGTATTTTGGTAGTAGTCCGGATTGGCTGATTTTGATTTTTAGGTTAGTCCAAGCTATGGATTAATTCCTATTTTGGGGATGGCTCTAACTTTTTTAAAAAAAACGGGGGGGATTTGGGACAGGTTGAGAGGGAATTGCTGGAGGGGAAGACATTGGCTTTTCACAGACAGGATAGGTCCTGGGCAATGAGAGATAGGCTGTCAGCACAGGTACTTTAGTCAGGGTGCAGGGGGCGGGGTTAGTGGGCGGAGCAGATCGGTTAGGAAGGGAGCACCGCGGCCAGGGAGGCTGGTTTCTAGGCTTTAGTATTGGAGGTGGGGTGAGGGGAAAGATCTTGCAAGTTGGAATCAGTTTTTGGTGAGTATCAGGGTGGCGGGGAGGGTATGGTGGCACAGGAATAGCCGGGGGGGCTTTTTCAGGGATAGTTATGGGAGACCTAGTTCTCAACCCTGAATGCTCAGACCGGAGCTACCTTGCGGTGTTAACAACTGGTCTGTGGTGCGCAGGGGGTAAGTATGTGTATGTGTGTCTTTTTGGCAGTACGTTCACAGCTCCGGGCAGTATCTTAATTTTGGGTTCTGTTTATTCTGGTTATTCTGGTAGTTTGGTATCGGGGTTAGTTTTCTTTGGCACATGGGCGATTAGCCTTGTAGTATGGGGGGTAGGACCATGTGTTGGGGAGGACTTAGTTGTTCCGGGCCTGGTTTTTACCCAATATGTGTATCCAAACTTTGTGTAGTCGGACTGGTGTGTATCCAATACCTAATCTCTAATGTGTATCCGGGCTGATTGTAGTTGGTCTTGTGGGTATCTATTATCTAATGTGTGTCCAGGCTGCTTGGAGTGGGTCTTGCGTGCATCTATTATCTAATGTGTATTCAGGCGGATGGTAGTCGTACTTGCGTTTATCTAGTATCTAATATCTAATGTGTATCCAAGCTGATTGTAGTTTGATTTGCGGTTATCTAATATCTAATGTGTATCCAGGCTGATTGGGGTTGGTCTTGCGTGTATCTAATATCTAATGTGCATCCAGGCTGATTTTAGTCGTACTTGCGTTTATCTAATATCTAATGTGTATCCAAGCTGATTTTAGTTTGATTTGCGGGTATCTAATATCTAATGTGTATCCAGGCTGATTGGGGTTGGTCTTGCGTGTATCTAATATCTAATGTGCATCCAGGCTGATTTTAGTCGTACTTGCGTTTATCTAATATCTAATGTGTATCCAAGCTGATTTTAGTTTGATTTGCGGGTATCTAATATCTAATGTGTATCCAGGCTGATTGGGGTTGGTCTTGCGTGTATCTAATATCTAATGTGCATCCAGGCTGATTTTAGTCGTCTTGCGTTTATCTAATATCTAATGTGTATCCAAGCTGATTTTAGTTTGATTTGCGGGTATCTAATATCTAATGTGTATCCAGGCTGATTGGGGTTGGTCTTGCGTGTATCTAATATCTAATGTGCATCCAGGCTGATTTTAGTCGTACTTGCGTTTATCTAATATCTAATGTGTATCCAAGCTGATTTTAGTTTGAACTGCGGGTATCTAATATCTAATGTGTATCCAGGCTTCTTGAGGTGTACTTGCGTTAATTTATATGTAGATGTACTTGCGTATATTTAATACGTACATTCAGACTTATTGAAGTCCTACTTGCGATATATCCAATACTTATCAGGACACACCCTGGGGACTGATCAACCCCGGCGGGGCCTTCCTTGGGTGAGGGTGTCTAGTGATAATGGCCGAAACACCCGAGGATCCCAAGGTCCACTACTGACGATGTGTCCCAATATAGGACGTTGAGTAATCCTAAGTAGTATAACAAATTGAAGGCTAACTGGCAGCCTAGCCTGTGGTCTGTCTCTCTTTTTACAACGGGCCTTAGCCTGCATTTAGTATTTGGGATACATGGTAAAGCGTATTCTCGTTTAGTCGGGCATTCCCGAACTGGTATAGGCATTTACAAATAGGGCTATCTGCTCCCAGTCATTTCCAGTCGAGTTTGGATTTAGAATGGTAATGCTATTGGCCAGCTGGGTTGGTCTCACCCAGAAGACGGCAGGTACCATTCGGGTGGGGGGGCATAGTGGGGGAGGACTTCTGCGACATGCGCCGGCCAGTGCTCTCCGATGGCTCTCCATTTCAACTGTGTTCTCGTTAGAGGCACGGGGGAGTCATTGCGTTATTAACTTCACCCTAACCCCTAACCCTAACCCTAACCCTAACCCTTGTTTTCAGTTTGGCACGGCCCTCTGAGGGAGCCACATGTCCCCAGAGGGGCTCATTGTTAGGGGTTACTTACCTCAACTAAACTAGATACTTACCTCAACTAAAGGGATTACTTACCTCCACTAAAGGGAATACTTACCTCAACCAAAGGGAATACTTACCTCACCATAAGGGGATACTTACCTCTACCTGGAAAAAAAGAAATTTAGAATACCTGTATGTCATGGCCGCCTGAAGAAGTCCCAAGAAGCGGACGAAACGTCGCGAGCGAACGCCACCTGACATACAAAAGAGAGAACACAGCAGGTTAACCAAAAAATCACATGGAGGAAAATTAAAGGAACCATACAATAAAAAACAAAAACATGCAAAAACTGTCAAACTGAAAACCTACAAACAGAATATTTATACTTCATATAACAAAGGCGAAACCAGTCTAATATAACTCATAGAACGAGTATATAAAACCTCTTTAGAGAAGATGGGGACGGAGAGCTGGCCATCCACAGGGTGGAGAGTGCACTTTGGGGGCCTCCACTTAGGTGGAGACCCCACCCCAACCCAAACCTAACCCGAACGCCACCTGACATACAAGAGAGAGAACAGAACATGAAAAATAGGACCTACATATTTATACTTCATATAACAAAGGCGAACCGGTCTAATATAACTCTAATAGTGAGCTTATAAAACCTCTTTGGAGAAGATGGAGACGGAGAGCTGGCCATCCACAGGGTGGAGAGTGCACTTTGGGGGCCTCCACTTAGGTGGAGACCCCCACCCCAACCCAAACCTAACCAGCCAGGGCCTCCTGTGGATCAATGGTCAGTGCTCCTACCCATGATAAGCTATAATAAGCTAACCCAGTCTTAATCCCATCTAACCCCAGCCCATATATTTCTGAACTAACCCTAACCAATTGGACCCTAACTAAGCCCCCTTGAGGCCCTAACCCCAAATCCTAGGCCCTATTCAAATCTAGTCCCCACTCTGGCTCCAAAATACTGGCCTTAATTTATCTTTAAACCTCAGTGAAGGACATTCTAAGCTCATATAATGGATGAAGCCACTAAATAAAGTAGGCATTTAAATACCATGGATGAAGTGTAGCCATTAAAGGGAGGCACACATACCCAGTGAACAAAGTGTTAATCATAGATATGAACACTATTTAAATTAAAGGCAAAGAATTGGAACCAGAAACAAAGGATTTTAATTTGAAAAAAGACATGGGAAATGGCAGTTGGAGAAAGTCACTACAATGGAGGAATAACACGAATTTTCAGAAAGGGAGGGGCTCAGAGTACAAAAGGGAGCAGCGGACATTTTGAATTCAGTTTGGCACGGCCCTCTGAGGGAGCCACATCTCCCCAGAGGGGCTCATAGTTAGGGGATACTCACCTCAACTAAATTAAATACTTACCTCAAATAAATTAAATACTTACCTCAACTTAAAGGAATACTTACCTCAACTAAAGGGGATACTTACCTCAACTAATAGGAATACTTACCTCACTTTAAGGGGATACTTACCTCTAAAATCACAAGAAAACCACCTGTATGTCATGGCAGCCTGAAGAAGTCCCAAGAAGCGGACGAAACGTCGCGAGCGAACGCCACCTGACATACAAGAGAGAGAACAGAACATGAAAAATAGGACCTACATATTTATACTTCATATAACAAAGGCGAACCGGTCTAATATAACTCTAATAGTGAGCTTATAAAACCTCTTTGGAGAAGATGGAGACGGAGAGCTGGCCATCCACAGGGTGGAGAGTGCACTTTGGGGGCCTCCACTTAGGTGGAGACCCCCACCCCAACCCAAACCTAACCCCTAACCCTAACCCCTAACCCTCCACTTAGGTGGAATCCCCAACC